TCCAAGTGCGGTAAAATCATAAAAAATGTGGCAGGGCTGGAGTGCAGGCAGGACATCCTCTTGGCTGTGGGATTGTGCTTGTCTTTCCGGTTCCCAGAAAGCTTTTATCCTGTGCCAGCAAGCAGAGGTGATGGGGGCTGAGTGCTTTGGAAAGCAGGGTGGCTCTGTGCCTCTCAGCAAAGGCAGGTGGAGGGGACAGCATCCTTGATGTGGGTATTGCCAGACAAAACTGGAAGGATGGATAAGGTCTCTGAGGTAACAAGACTTRGGAAAAAAACCTTCCTGAAATGAAAATACCTATTTTTAAAAGGAGTTGGTAGTTATTAGATGAAAGTAATGGTTAGGAGTTGTTGATGACCTCCAAAAAGATCACACTCTCAATGATGCATGAGATGTGCTAGCTGACAGCATTGTGCTCTCTCCAAGGTGTCTGATAGCTGTTCCTAGCACAGAAAATGAAAGTGCTGTCTCTGTAGGTGTCTCCGGAAATCAGCAGCACAAATTCCTAATGGCATGGCTGGAAATTTGCTTGCTTGTTTGAATTTTGTTCTGCTAATGCTGAACTACAGGTGATGCTGCCAGTCACTGCTTTGAATGCAGKCAAAGTGAAAAGCAATGAATTTGCATTATATGTGCAAACGCATATACAAAATTTGTGTGTATATTCAATTATGATTTCTCATCTTAAAATGATCTATCCACCAGTCTTGCAGGCTGATTTGACTTTTTTTTTCTCTTAGATCAGCCTCTTTCAGTGTCTGAGCCCTTTGCTATAATTGTTTTTCATTGGACCGGTGGCTTGTATGTGCTTTTAAAACAATGCACAGCATTCCTTTTACCCCCTCCTTGGCAGACCTGTTTCCTGGTATTCAAAGCACGACTTTAAAGGTGGGATTGTGTTATTTGTCAGAATATCACGCAAGAGAGTGCTGGAGTGTGGTTTCTTGAGTACTTGTCCCTTGAGCAACATCATGCAATAACCTTCTTTTTCCCCACACTGTGTAGCTGTGCCTTGCAAGTATTGAGTGATATAGTCAGTCACACTTGGACGACTTCTGTAGTTAATTTGCAGTCATCTCCTTTTTTCATATCCTTTTTCTTGGGCATGTGAGGGTAGGTCTGCAGGCACAATTTGTTGTATGAGATTATAGCAGCCAGTATGAATGTACCTATATTTACATTTGAACACACATGTATTTATCACAAATGTTGCTTGTAGAGAAGCAGGGAAGATCAAGGGAGTCAGCTGACCTCATAAGCAGTAGCCTGCTTAAAGAAATAAATTTGGTGAAATACAAAGTATCTTTAATGGCCATTAATAGTATGGAGGCTGGACTGTGAATTGTTTGTTCTGAAACCAAAGGTAATGGAATTAGTCCCAGCAAACTGAACTCTGTCTGCTGTATAGACAGAACTCATGGTTTGACTCACTCATTGGAAAAAACAAATCACAAARAGTATGAAAATTTAGTTTGTCTTTTGTTCTTCTTTTTTTCATGGTATCAAAAGATGAATACAAGTAAAATTAAACTTTTACATAGCAGGCATAAAATCCAGGAAATATGGAASAGTTGCAAGAAAAGCTCTGTAAAGAAAATGGCTTAGGAAGATCACAGTCTCAGTTGAAAGTCATGGCAGGCCTCTTTCCAAGATGATGTACATTCTCGGTGTATGTGACGAGGAGTGGCTGGTAGCTCCTAAAAGGGACTTGGCCTGAGGTGAAGTGCTTTCAGGTGCTCCCCTGGGTGGCAGGTGTGCAGTGCTAGTGCTCAGGTTTTGTTTCCATGACTCTCTGTAACTGCTGCACCATGGGGATGGCCACCTGAAAGGAATSTGGAAAGTTTATCAGGAATGGACAAAGAAAATCTTCAGGCAGAACTATATCAAATTATTTCTTGAAGAGAAGCCATAAGGCTCTGTGTCCAATTGTGTATATGTGGTTTTAAATTTAATTATAAAGATGGAAAAATCACTATAAAACACTCTTAAAGGAATTTTGCAATAGAATAATAAGCAAAAAAMCACAGAAAGCTGTTAAGGGACACACTTGTTAAAAAACAAGTCTGAGCCAGAGGGTTAAAAACTAATAGGACCTGATCTGACTGATTAGATACATTCATGTTTAACTCAGATGTATGTGGAGTTGTGGATACCTAAATTGTGTACATTTAAAAACAAACCCAAACYTGTACATGCATGATACTTGGATTTTTCAAAAGCAGTGTTTGAGACCTCCTTSAGTTTTGTTTATCAGTCTCATGGCTGCATATGAAAAAAAAGGCTGGTTTTCAGATGCTTTAGCTATGGCATTTGGATACCAACAAGATTGGTCACATTTCTGTGATGATTCCCTGAGCTTGCTGAAAAGCAGAAATCCCCCCCAAGAATCACCTTGGTAAGTGGATGTGCTGAAAGAAAGGGGAGGTTGCTTTGGCTAGTCTGGTTACAATTCAGAGATGGTTCTTAACGAAAAACAAAACCAAACCAGACAAAACCCAACAAAGAACAACACAGAAAAACCCCAAAACCAAACCCATGCAGCATCTTCTATTTGGTATGTCCTCACTGGTACATACAATCCAGTATCACCATTATTTTGCAGAGCAGTTTAACTTCATGTACTGGGTGCACTTGCTTCTAAATTGACTTTTGATAGCTGGCTTTAATCCACCTTGTAAATCTTGGAAGTTCACATTTTATACAGTAACTGATGTAAATGATGAAACATTTGCTGTAATGAGAATCTATCTTTATGTTGTCTTTCCAATTAAATTTATGGAGTTTTAAAATGTGATATTTAAAAACGGTTATAACTTTGGGTCCTGACCTGACCTCTGCAAAGAGTGGTTTGTTCCCAGAATGGGCACACTATCTCAGGAGAACGGGTGTGGTGTTGTAAGGTTTCTTAATTTATATTTGTTAGGATTTTTTAGTATGGTATGGTGCAGAATGATATTGTGATGCTAGGTAGGGAAGGAATAGTATGTCTCAACTGTAGGCATTTGATGTAATTTAGGCAGTGTTATTGCTCTGGAAAAGTATGTGCCTTTTAAAAWGACAGTAATGCATTTATGAAAAGTGAGTGATCTTGTGCCTCCATACATACTCATTGAAGTCTTTCACAAGCTATGGAAAAGAATTCTAGATACTATCATCTGGTCACAGTTTTTGTTCTCCCTGCAGTATTTTTTTTTYCTAATCCTTGCACAGCTGAAGACAATTCTGTTGTATTTTGTTATGAATTACAAACTTGGTCCATTTGGAATGAGGAGAGACTTAATTTTTTTCCCAACTATTAAATATGTATTTTTAATTTTATTGCTATAGAACAGGAAAGGAGAAGCAGCCATCTTCAAGTTTTTGTCCTTGCACAACTTCACAATGCGTTGAACTAGTAGGTCGCCAAAGAAATTTGAAAAGGTCTCTTTGACCCATGGCAAGGAGTTGTCCCCTACTGTCCTGCAAAAGTAATGCAGGGAGTTTTGGCTGAGTGTTAATTCTATTGCACTTTTCATCTGAACCTCCAGAATTCTTTTAGTGGCAGGAAAGTACTGTCTCATTGATTCACTGAACTTCCCCCACTGAGGGGAGTTGAACAGGACATGCTTTGTCAGCACTGATTTGGAAAATAATGGAGATCTTATCTTGTTTTTTGGACCATCATTTACGCAGCCTTAAAGGTGTCTGTTTCAGAAGTGATCTGCAAAGGCTGTAGGAATGTTATGCTGTTGCATTTCAAGTAATTTTAATCTCAGGCTGCCACAGTCCCATTCTTTCCACTTGCCCATGCTAGCTACCAATGGTTGTGCAGCCACCATGACCCAGTTCAGGAGTCTCATCTGACTGAAAATGTGTCTGTAGATGGAGTTTTCAGCTGTGTTGGCTCCCAGACCAGCTCACCAGAGAATTGCATGGATGCCAGTATATATAAAAGGCTTATCTAATTCAGGAATAAGCTAGCACTGTGTTCAGTAAGGGAACAGACATGTCTGAAGATTTGGGGAGATCTCCCAGTTTCAGTGCATCACTGTTTTGTCTGTGTCCTGATAYTTCTCTGTTTCCTGGGTAGAACAAGCTTGTACTTGTAGCTGCAGCCTGAGACAGTAAAAATCCATAATGAATAAAGAAAAACGCTCCTCAGAATTTGTTGCTTTTCCTGTGTTTCCAGCAAGGGAGAAAATTAAATAAGAGGGAATGTGTGTTAATAAATGGTGTGCTTAACATGCAATATATATTGATAGACATCTGGGAATATGAAGGCTATTCAGGWAAACTAAGAAAAAGATAAAGTTGAAGAGCAGCTGAAAGTCATATTTTAGTACAAAATCGTACGCCAAAGAAAGGAACAATGGGACTTGGTTTTAGACTAAAATATTTTATATTAGTAATTTGACAGGTTTGGTAACATTTCAATTAAGACTTTGGATTTGTTATTCCAAACTGTAAGATGTGCCATACTGTTTTTTTGTTGGCTTGGGGTTTTGTTAGTTCACGAAAATTGATGCATGGGTTAATAGCCTGCATTGCTGTACAGACTGCTTTTTAGGGACACATTCAAAGTAATCAGTACTRTGGAGTACAGATAATTTTTGCTGCTATAGTAAACTGTTCATAAATTTGTTGCTTAATGATTGCTTCACAAAATTTAAGACAAACATTGTTTTTAAATCTCACCTACTGGCTATTTCTATCAAAATAAAATAGCAAGCTTTCTTGCAGTGTTTAGTTTTCGATCTCTGTCATGGGCCAAAAGAAGCGACTGTATGGCCTGAGATTTCTTTGTGCCTCAAAATTTATGTGATTTTATTAATGGAGGCCAACCAGCAATAATAAAATTGTGCTGCATGTATAGCACAACAGTTCATCTCCTCTGACAACATGACTATGAATAATTTATCKATGTAGTTATCCTGGAATTTGTAGGGGTCATTAGCATTTTAATGAAAAAGATACAGCTGTTACACTAAGTCTTCACTTTTTTTTTCTCCCTTCTCCCACAGTTAAGAATTTCGATCTGCACTTTGAAGGCAGCTGACAGCGTGTGGTAATGTGCTGACTGGCACTATGGGCAGGCGGTACCCAGGGGCTCACTATCGGCCAAGCAGCTCATGTACGTATGCAATTGGTCTAATTTATTTGTTGCTTTATTACTTTTGAAGACTGCTAAGCCCATAAATGTTGAAATAGTATTTATAAAGAATGCTGACATATTCTAATCGATGCCAGTCCTCCTGTGTGTGTGTACCCAAATGGTAAGTATATTGATTTATGTTTAAATTGCAAAGGTGCTTTCTGGAACTTTAAAAAGTGGCTTGCCATGTGACTTGACCACATCTATTGCAGTGTGCTGTGGTTTGTGCTGTGGTTTGTGTTCAAGGTCTTCAGCTACATTTATTATGGAGTTCTAAGGTTAGCTGCTCCCTTCCATTCTAAGCTTTTAATACCAGATACCTTCAAATTAGGTTGAGCTCAAGTAGCTTGTTAAACTGTCACTGTGCGCTGTAGTTTCTATTGCTTACAACTGCAGCCAACATCTCCAGTTTAGATTATTTATATGCTGGAGTTCAATATTATTCACGTTGTTTTTTTCCTCCAKATTGTATCCTATTGGGTTATACTACATCATCTCTTACTGAAGGTTCTCTTCTGTAGAGGTGCAAAAAAGGAGCTCCTAGAATTTGTCACCTCACTCCTTCCATCAGCCGCCACACTGCAGTGGTTCCAAGCGCAGACTATGGGAAGGAGKTGATGTGACCTCCCTGGAGAGCTGTGGGGTAGCACCCACCTCCAGAAGTCTGCTGCTAGTCCTCGTGTGCTTTCTGTTGATTCCTCAGACCACTGAGGTGAAGTTATGATAGGTTAACTTTTGTATTTACTCTTCCTTCTGCTGTAGCAAGASAGCATGATCCCACAAGGCTTTTCTTGGCATCAAAAGCAGCTTAATAAGCTCTCACTTCTGTACCATTCTTTCTGTTCCTTAAAAGACTTCTTTAAAACCCCTGACTCCACTCRTGTTGGCTGATTCAAGGGGTGAACTGCAGAGACAGCTGACAACTGTGGCAGGACAGGGACTTCCTGTGGTGGCTTTGCCATTGGACATGAGGAAYTGCATAGTGTGATCCTGCATTCAGCACCTGACTTTGAGGGGTTTTCCCTAACCACTGGGCTAAATCCTAGGAAGTAGTAAAACATGGTTACTTTCTGCTGTAGACTAATCAAGAGGCCATAAAAAAACATTAAAATGGTGCATTAGACCYAAGTTAGAAACTGAGTTTCCTAAGAGGTTTTTGAGGGATATTGTCTCTACTACAATGGAGGAAATAAATGGTTTTTACAGTTTTGACTGGTCTTTGTGGTCAAGTGCTGGAGTACTGAATTGGACTGATCTGTTGGAATCACTTGACATTAAATCTGCACTCTAGCTTTCAAATGTGGCCTCTCGGTGTACTGCAGGACATGATGYTCCCATTCCACACTTGAAGCTCAGAGAGTTAAAATGTTCTAGTGTGAAAGTATCTAATAAAATCCATTCCTGCTTAGAGAAGACAAGTAATGGGCATTGAATTCTTACCAGAAGAGCCTAAACTGTTTTTCCTGTTGTCTAGTTGAACAGTTTTTGGCATGAAGAAGTGGAATTGTTTGCTTGGGGAAACGCTGGGGCTCTCATCATCTATCAGGGCTAAAACTTGCATCAGAATCAATTGGCAMCAGAACTCCCTCAGTTTGGGGACAGAGATATCAAAACACCTACTTCATGATTGCTTTGTGCTTTTGTTAAGCTAAGTTTTCCCTTTCCTTAACCTGTCAGGGTTTCTAGGCCAAGAAACTTCCTTTGTTTGTTGGTTTTGTTACTGTATGATTTGTGCAGCTTCCTGCTGCCTAATATAATATGTTTTGGATGTCCAGCAATAATAGTATTGATCTGCCCAGTATTTGGGAAATGTGAATCATAATGAAATCTCTGATAGCAGATTAGATCTTGATGAAAGTGCTGGTAAAACACATGATTTTGCCTTAGTGTTCTTTGCATAAATAAGGAGTAATTGCACCATCTCACTTACTGTATTTCACATTTACAGTTGCTTCAATCTTCATGTTTTACATCAAGGACTTGATGCAGCCTTAAGCTGTAGTCACTGACTTTATCTTCTGTCTGTACATACACATACACCTAAATAAATCTGTGAAGAGAAGAATTAGGTCTGTGTGGAGTATAGAAGCTATATTGCTTCTTTGGTGGTAAGGTAATATTTCATCCATTTATGGCATTGACTGTTTTGTTGAATGCTTTCATAAATTTAGTGGATAGAATAGTGTGTGTTTTAGGAGAATAACAAAAGGTTTTATATTCGTGGAAACACATAACAGTTTAAATAGAAAGTAGCTTATTTGAAGCCCAGTGCTAGGAAATAGATTTCCAATACAGGTGCTAAAAGTATAAGAAACAGCAAGATATTTAAATTGTAAAATGGAAACCTGTAAATTTAACAGGTGCCTGCTAGTTTAGACTTTTGAAAAGTGTAATTGGGGAGCAATGATCTCCCTTGATTTTTGTCAGCAAAGCAAAACAGTCTTGGGTGTATCCTTGGCACTAACGCTGCTTGTCCTGATTCAGCACTCCCTCATGTGCTATTTTGTTGGCTTTTTTTTTGCTTTTCTGTACTTTTATTGTGAAAAATACAGATTAAGGACAGCCTCCACCTATTGAGAAGCTAGGTTTTATAAACAGACTTCTTTCATTAATTTTGACTGAGCTTTTTTATTTATATTTTTCTAATACTTGCTCACAAACCCCAGTTTTCTGCATTGGCTGCAACAGCTCTTGTGAAAATATGGTTCTGTTTGTGTTGTTTAGGTAACCTCACATTGTATTTCATACTAAAAATTTCTTTTCTAGTCACAGAGTAAAAGGTTTTTGTATGTCTGGGAAAAAAAACTTTTTGAAGGGTTTGTCCATGAATATTACGTCCACAGCATAACAGCTCATTTTAGTTAGTTTTAATGTTTTGCATGACATTGAAACCAGTGCCATCCTGCTGGCATCCAATGCTCAGGAAGGGCCTAAACAGCAACAACAATAACAATAATAATAAAACGCAGAGTTTTGTGAAACTGCTTTTTTTTTAAAAAAAAGCCTACTTTTCAGGAGACATTGGAAGTGAGAAAGCACAGAAATATTTGGGTGGTGTTTTTCAGCACTTGCTGACCTTTGGAGTGTGCAAGGGTGGAGGCACAGTCCTGCGTGGAGCATCAGCTTTCACTGGGAGGAAGGGAGCTGCTTGCACATGGAACTCCAGGACCAGCCCTCRCTGCCCACAGACAGGAGTGCCACATCCCTCACTCTTAAGGCATTGTCTTGATGTGTGGCCAGTAGAGGTGGACTTCGTTTTTTTGAACTATTGGTGCCTCAGACTAGGGTCTGTAGGAATGATTTTTTATGTGATTCTGCAATATGATTATTAGAGCTTACTCAAGTTTTATTTCAGAAACTTCTGATAGACAGTGACTTTTTTGTCCCAAGCAGACTTTTGTGGGAGATACCATTTTTCTGAAGCATTCATAAATGAAAGATGTCAATGAAAGGAAATGTTCTTCATGAGCTGCAGATGGGAGAAGTTTGAGTCCTGGTTCTCCATGATCACCTCCCCTGATAAAGCTGCTCTTATAAATGATTCAAAGTGCTTGAGGGCAGAGACAGTAGGGTTGATTTTACAAACTTGGGCTTTGATTTCTCTTGAGGAACACTCAAATTCCTGTTCTGTCTATTTGGCTTCCCAAGGCATGCCCAAGTGTGCCTTTCTTTGTGCCGTGCTTGCAAGGGAGCTGTTGATTAATGAAACTGCTGGAAAACCTTAGTTTATTTGCAGTGAGGTAAAGAAACACATGTGAGAATGGTGACATTATAAATTAGAGCAACCCCCTGAAAGAACCCCACACTTCCAGTCTTGCAGCCAGTGCTGATTGTTACATTGCTATCATTAGTGCAAGATGAGTTGGTTTAAAAATTTGTCGTGTGGCTCTGTGGGCTTGGAGCTGCTCCTAGAATAACAGATAACTGACCCAAAGAGGCACCTAACCCCAAGGAGATGTGTATGCACTGTGCAGCTCTTGGTAGAAGCATGTCAGTCACATTCTACTTCTGCAAAATCCTGCCTTTTATCTCCTGACCTTTTTTTTTCTAGGGAAAGACACCTTGTTGTAAATAAGATTCAAGTATTAGTACTGCTTAGATCATGCTTGGGCAGGTGACACTTTTCTGTAAAGTTTCTTTAAAAGCTCCACATCATAGCAGAGGAAAAGGCAGGAATACGGGTGACTGATGCAATGAAAATTGCAGAAGTACCCAATGACACATGTTGCTCTCCTTGTTAAACCTTGTGTAGGTTTCTGCCTTTCCTAGGAAGCTGTGTGGAGACTGGCACAAGAACTTCACTGGCCTCTTGGCTGATCCTGGTGACGGTCCAACATGTGCTCATGTTGGCAGATAGAAGCTGACTCAGAGCCTCTAGATGAAAAGCTTTCTTTAGAGACTGTGTTGTACTCTGAATGCCTATTGTCACTTATGCATTTATTTCTTAGCATAATTAGGGTTAGCCCTATCTCAAGACCCTGACAGGTCCATTTCTTCTTCATGGTAGAAGTAGAAGCTGAAGGTTTCCTTCTAATTCCATTTGGGGTTGCATATGATCATGGAGAACCACCATATTACCAGATTTATATCATGTGTTTGTCCCCTTTTACAGAAGCTCTAGTTCCTTTGGTAAGCGGTGCTTTGTGAAGACCTGTGAGAAAGAAGAGTAGAGAATTTTGGTTAGCATGTCAAGAGCTCAAGGTTCTGTGTTGCAGTTCAGGCCAGTAATACTAGTAGTTTGTTCTTTTCCACTTGCTCAGTATCCTCTACAGACATCAGGTTTGTTGAAACCAAGTCAGCCATAGTTCACTGTAATTAATATAAATGCCAGTAAGTGCAGTTGTTTTTTTGTTATGTTCTCCTTCCACTTCATTACGGATTGATCAATGTAGTTTATGGGGACCATAAAGCAAATATGATACTTGGATTTCATTTATGAGTATGTGGTTTGTTTTATATATGAGTTCTCTATGGGCAGAGGTTTCTCAGCATAGTACAACAGCCTTCTCAGGGAGCTCTACTGGCTGCATCAGGCCAGGATTCAAGTCTTTGCTGTGTTCTAGTTCCATGATGACATTGGGAGAGTTACTGTAGGGTTTGGCTATTTTAATCATCTCTTGGCATTCTGTCAGCTTAAGCAGTACTGCAACACTTGGTCTATAAACTGTTGGATGTTTTGAAATGTTTCTGATCTTTCCCATTAAAACATCAGAAATGTTTCTGATCTTTCCCAGCTTTGCAGGGAACTTTCAACCTTGTTGAGGTGTATATCTTTGTGTAATGAGCCTTATTTTAGTTCAGCCTTCGATGAAAATACAGACTACAAATGTAGAGACCTTTTTTGGTTTGATGTACCCTGAGCTCTGTTTACTGGAGGCAAGGAATRTGTGGGTAGGACATGTAAATCCAATTTTCAGACAGTTTCAGCAGATGTAGTTAAAAGTGCACCTATTTAATAACCTTACCTAGGTGAGATACAGAATGTTTTAAATCTACGTGGAACACAAGCAATCTTTTCAATGTGCAAAATCTTACTCTGCTTTGCTTGAGAGCCCTAATAGTCTCATTGTGCAAAAGCTGGCAATCACTTTAGTGCTCTTCTCTGTGACTGAGACTTTTTATTTTAACTTACTGTTACTGATTTGAAATTATTTGCAAACATTTATGAATTAATTAAATTAGGTGTTTTCTTTATATTGATGCTTTTGATAGACATATGCTTTTATTCTTTATTTCTTTCCATATACAGCTGTAGACAGTCAATTGAAAGCTTCCTTTCCATTTTTTTAATTTTTGGATTTTCATCTCTGGAGCCTAATTTGATACTAAGTAAAGCTTTACAGTAAAGAGAAAACAATTTTGGTGTAGAATTATCTTTCAAATGCTTAAAATCTTAGCTGTGAGGCAGGAAAAATAGTTGGCTCAAAACTATTGCTACCAGTCTGGGTAATCTGAGGATAAAAACATTTCTGGATAACCTTGATTGATGAAAGGTTACTGTATAACTAGCCATAAATTTATAATACATGGTTCAGAGGGCAGATGAAGTTGTAGCGGGTGAAATCATGATGCCAGGCTATCAGAAGTTTAAAATAAATTAGTTTAAAAATGGAAACTGAAATGTCTTTATTCATGTGCATGCGGTTAGCTGTTCTTGGAGAAGCAGATTGTGCTCAGGAGTGTGCAGTGTTGTTTCTAGGCTTTGCAGGAACAGGGAGTGTTTGCAAGCTGCAAATAGCAGGGCTGCAGACAAGGGGTGTGGGAGGTGGTTACTGATAATAATATGTTTAATTTTTTTTTTCCAGCACAGCATCTCTGTTGGAACTTAACTCATCCATGGCATCTGACAGGGTCTCAGTTAACATTCTGCCTACTTGTCTTACTAGTGGTGTGACCTGTGCTTAATGCCTTTTGCTGCTGTGTCACCTGATCAAAGAGCTTGGGATTTGTCTAAACAAACAGCTGGAAAGCTGATGCTGGACCTTGTGCATTTCTTTAACACTGTTAAGGAATTTGTCATCTTTTGAGTGGCTCTGCTTCCTAGATGGAGGAACTGACAAATGATTGAAGTTAAATTTATGTGGGGCAAAAAAATCCCTTCTTTGAACTCAGTCTGAATCAATCCATGACATTTCATATGCCAAATTTGTGGCCCTTGGATCCTTTCTAATGCTCCATCAAGCATATGGATAGGCTGCCTGTCCTAGAAAGCGTTTTGGTTATGTTTTTTTGCTGAGACAGCTTATCCTAATTGTATTTCATATGACATTTTGCTTTTGTTTTGGTATTTCTGATCAGCTTTGATTACACATTGCTTACCTTCAGACTTGGTAAGAGTTGTTTTTGGATGGYATTTGAGATTGAAGCTGTAGAATATGGAAGTTCTTCTTGCTTTATTCATCACCTCAATGGCAGAAATTCAAGTTACAGTTTCTGAGTTTGTGTATCTGTTTAACGGAGAATGATGCTTCTGCTTGTACCCTGTACTACCACTTGCATTGAAATTAGGGTTATTTGTAAATTAGCAAATAAGTCTGAGGTGTGATCTTTATTGTAGACATTTAATAATTTGCACATCAATTAAAAAACAGGAATGTTAGGGCTCAGGAGTTAAATTTATGCAATGGGATCAGAAAAAAAATTAGAGATGTCTACTTAGGCAAATGTCACTGTGAACGTATAGAGCCAATGACAGAAGGTCTTATTATCTGTGCTGACACATAGCCAACAGATAAAACACACTCCATCTCCTTGCTGTGACAGCACTGGTTTTGCCTACCAGACTGTTCCATTCTATGCAGGGGGAAAATCTAATTAAAGGGTCYTGATGTAATGGCCTCCACAGGCTCTTTCCAGYGCCTGCTTTAGGCCCTTTAGATCTCTCAACGCTAACCCCAGGCGGAACCCTAACGCTAGCSCTGGTTAATTACCCAAAGCCAGTACCACGGTCTTGCTTGCCACACAGATGGGGGAGCATGTGATCTTGTTTTTCCCACACTAAATGCAGGATTAGTCGTTGATTGCATGTCTACCTTGTAGAAATGAAAGAATTGTTTTTTATTTCTTAAAGGGATTATTTGATTCAAGAATAGTGGCACAAGATGACCCAGGTTCTCTGCAATAGAAAGTTTCAGTAAGACAGTCAAATATACACTGATTATTTTGATGTATCTGTCTTAATTTAAAAAAAAAATACAGGAACGGTGGATTTAGCAAGTTTCTTTCTGTCATTAATATTTTTTTTCTTTTTCCTTTATATCTTATATAATCTAATTCTGAGAAACATCTTCTCTTGCAATTTTTTGCTGGACGAGGAATTTGACTGCTTTTGTGGGARGGCAGAAGGAAAAAGATGGTAAATGAGAAGGCATATTCAACTTCAGTGCTACAAGTCATTGCAGGATCTGAAGGTTTTTTTCCTCAATAACACGTTAAAGGATAGATCAGCATTGTAGATTCCTGTTAATAAGAGCATTGCTAGAACAGAAACAGCACTGCTGCTAGGCTGTTGTAGTTGGTTGGCAACATGTTTAGCTCTAAAAGAAAAAATGTCATTATTGTGGCAGCAGGGGCTGGCAGGGTGCCTCTTGGGGACAGGGGAGCCAGCACAGAAAGCTGGTTACCAGAYGGTGATTTCGGTAGGACTAGGTGAAGCAGGAAATGGCTGGAAATGGGAGAAGCTGCATTTAGCAAGCAGATTGAAGTGGTGATTTTATTCTGTTGAAAGGACAGATCCAGGGTGGAATAGAGATGGCAGCAATGATTTCCTGCTTGGGCAGGAGTGTTGTATTTGATGATCTGGAGAGGTCCTTCCCACCCTCAGCAACTCAAGAKATTTGTGTGGAGGAGTCTGCAGATAGATTTGAGCACTTTGTGTGTGCAAGGTTCTTGCAGCCCTGCTCCTTTCCTGCTCTTGCATTCCCCAGACTGCTCTGCCCACCATCATAATTCACTTTCCTGGTTTTGCTGAGCTTTCTCTTCGCAGCTTCCAAACTCAGTCCAGCAGAGATAYCACTGCTAGAGAAAGCAGCAAGAAGGAAATTGCTGGCTGTAGTCTTTGATCTACCACAGCACTTCATTTGAATGTTATCCTTCCTTTTCCTTTCAGAAACTGTTAGGTGTCACCTGGAATTTGTGTAGATATCTAGGTAAGAAGGAACAGATGACATTTGACATTAAGAAGCCTTTTAGTCTGGATTCCAATTTCAGCTAATAATGTAAATCTTGATTTTATTAGGATGCTTTGGGCTGACATCTATTTAACTATTACCATTTAACTGGTTGTACTTTTAGAATGAATGTTTTAACATTGTTAACTGGTGTTGAGCTGTGATAGTTTTTTAATGAAGGTGTTCTCTGCAACTACTTAGGCTTTAATTAAAAAGTCCAGGTGTACACGATRTACAAGACCTGGGGCTGTAGCCCCATGGCATGAAGTTGTCATTAAATGTTTTGTACTCAGGAGATAGCCTTGCAAAAGGCAAATCTGCTTTATGAGAAGGTGTTTTTTTTTTTTCTTCCTATGTTTCCTAGATGCAGTGACAAAAATAGTAATGAGTACATAGAAATACCTTTTTTTCACTGTGTATGTCGTTCATATCCAAACCAGAGACTTTCAAGCAAAATGGTTTATTTATGAGAAGATGGCCAGGAAAGAGTCCCATACTGGAACTTACTGCCTTTCTTTTTGATCCTCCTGTGGGATCAACCCTGCAGACTATGATTCTTAGTTTTATATGCTACATGTCATTATGCAAATTTTCTTGTGAACCTGCCTTACTGCTGTGTTTACTTTTACCAATCCTGCTGTGTTTTTTGAATAAGCTATATCTTAGGTAATTTGGAAATTACTTGTAGCTCAGGTAATTCAGAAAAACCTCGTATTTTCTAATGTGTTGAAGTTTTTGCTACAGTATGTTGACTAATACTGGGGAATGTTTTTGAATTTGGGCTCCTAGTAAAGTTGTACATTTACAAAAATATAATAGCTATTTTTAATTACATGTTCTTGTTGCTGTAGATTAGCCTCTCCCATACTTTAATGACTGTCAAATATAATTGAAAACTCAAAAGATCCTCACTGTTTTGCTGTGGGCTTTATTTAGAATGCTTAACATCTTTCAGGAGCTTCTCAAATGTGGTATTTTTCTTTTGTGTTTTCCTTTGGTTTTAATTCTTAAATGGTCCCTCTTTTCAGATTTCAAATTATAATCTATTTCCTGATGCATTGCTGACGCCCCGTGAGCCATGTCAGAAGTACTTCCAGGTCAGATGCCCTTTAAAAGATTCTGCTATGCAAATATGTGAAACTTTCCTCTTATTTTTCTTCTTCTTCTTTCCAGGCCCATATTTCACTTATATTTTGCACTTACACATGAAAAAGAGTAAGCACTTCTTTTCTTTTTTAACTGTGCCTTTTTGTAGAAACTTTCTATTCAGCTTTTTTAAAACCTCTCATAGACAATATGGTGTAAAAAAGTTATTGGATGGCAAAGACAAATTGGCCATGCACTGTTCTTTGTTTGCAGTGGCATTTTCTCTCTCTTCTAGCTCTGTAAGTTTTATGAAAAGATTGAAAAATACCAATAAAAGCCATTCAAGTAACAGCATTATTTGTAATATTATGATCCTTAGAAAATTGGCACTACCCTGTGTTAAACACATTATAGTGGTAAAAGTATTTTAATWCCTGTAAGAATGTTAAAAGTATGCCGTTGAGTTTGAAGTTGAGTTCTGTTACAAAGTAAGCAAGCTGAAACCCCTTATTGAATTGCTGTAACAGATCTTCTACCTAGTTAAGTGCTGTCTTGAAGCACCGACAATTTAACAATATTGTTACTCCCAGTAATCACAACATCCTAGGTATTGTTAGCTTTTCACCAGAGTAGAGTATTTTTTAGTGTAATACCCCACTTTTATTCACTTATAACTTGTTATGTGTTCCCCCACTTTAGCTGAGAAGCATGTGTCAACTCAGCGATTCCTGGTCTGGTTGTCCATTTGTGTCTGCTTTTCAGCAGAAGGTAGAGGAATTGAAAATATGGTGCCCTGTGCCGGTAGCATTGTCCTGGCTGGCAGCACAAGGAGCTGTCTGAGAGGGGGGTTGGAGTCTGCCTGTGGCAGCCCCGGGTGCAGGAACCATGGCACAGGRTGTTGGTTAGCTGGTGAGGGGTGCAGTGCCAGCTTGTGTTTAGGTACCCTGCAGCAAAGGAGGCAGCATCAGTGGAAGAGACAATATAAAAGATATGGGAAGTTAGCAATTGGAATTTCAGGCTTGAAATGACAGGCACGTGAAGAATTTGCATTTTATTGAAGTTTTTAATTAGAAAGTTGGGGTGTGCTTCCTCTGGGAAAAGTGATGTGTTTCAAGCATCACTGTGTTCTGTATAAAGGAGGAGGGAYAGGCTATTGCTTTTCTTCCTTGTACTGTTCTACTGTGCAATCTATGTTTTCTTCAGTGGTCTTAGGTATGTCCTTGCATTCCAATGTTTTCTGGCACTTTTCATTAGTCCTAGTCTGGCAGCAACTTCTACCCTTGAGATGCAAGATCTGCCCTTTCCCATCTGTATTTCTTCTGTTTCTACCTCCTTTTCTCTTTTTTCCCCACTTTTCCTCACCTCTGTATCTGCGTCCAAGAGCAGAGGGAAGCTAGCTGCATTCCGGAGCCTGGCTGGCAGTGCAGGGTGACGGCTGGCGAGCCCGCTCTTGGCCCTCGAGAGAAAAGCCCACTTCACTCTGTGCACTCCTTGTGCTGCTCTTTGCCTGTTCATTGATGATTTGATCAACAGATACCTGAGATGAGGTCAGGAGGGGAGGTGGTGGCTAGAGAAAGATTTATTTTGACATTTTTCTGTTCATGATCATACACCAGCCCAACTTAACACCAAGTCGCAAACACTCCTTAGGTCTTTGGCTTGGTCGTTGAATAACGTGCCAGTGTTCATCAAACCAATGGARGACCTTTATCAAGCAGGTCAGTAAAATGTAATACACTTCGTTGCAATGTTTCCAAAGGCTTATTCTTAACAATATTTTTGAGCAATGAAACAATAACAGCAGGGGACTGGCTAAAGATAAGCTGGCAGGCAAATACTTACACTTTATCTAGTGAGATATTTTTTTATGAAATTTGTTCAGTGACAAAAATAGTGGCAAACATCGCATGAAGCGGCTCACTTAAAACAAAGGAGAAGAATAAATTTCAGTCTTGTTCTGTATTGTGGTACTTGTATTTATTGGTGAAAAACATAAATGCTTGTTTTAATTTGCTGAAACATGAAGTAAAATATAATCTAGTGAAATCCCAAGATACCGTACAATTCCATAAATTCTAAAGGTCAGGCAGTGGGGGGGGGGAGGGGAAATTATCCTGTCCTATTACTTTAATTTTTTATGTGACATTCAGGTTTTTAGATTTTAAGTGATTCAGAAAAGGATACAAAGCAGCTAGTTGATACACACAATCTGTTTCATGTAAAACTTGTTGGTAACATCTGATCAGATGCGACCTCCCTTGCATTAGACCTTGTTGGTTTTAGACAAGATCCATAAAGCTAAGTGTATGTATATGATGTGTTTATCTGAGAAATAATTTATGAATTTCCTTAAGTTTTGTGATAGTTGTGTTTTGCAGTCTCTTGTGGCTAACGTTGAAAGTCCTCACAGGATATTTGTTAGCTGTTACCTAAGGTGATGGCTTTTGCAAAGTGTGCATGGGCTGATCTGTCTTCTAAAGAATTTGCAGTTGGTTTAGACTGACTGGGGCTTGAGAAATAGGCAAACATGAAAAACTGTAAAATTTAGTTTAAACTCTGTTTCTAACAAGTTTTAGAAATTGTTCTTCAATAGCTGGGTGGGTGATTCAGGGAACAAAGGTATTACTTTATCTCTTGGTTTTAAATGAACCAGAGTGAGTGTAAGTGAGCAGCTTTGACAGCACATCAAAGAGGCGGGAACATTAGCAACTGTGCCTGCATTTAGGTAACATTGTGAAGTGCTCCTTTTCACTCTGTTTACATATTATATGTTCTTTTAAAACCCATATATTTAATCTCTTGCAAATCTGTAGAGCAGTCGGTTCAGTCATATATCAAATATACAAARATGCAGCAGAGCTCAGTTGGAATGATCTGTCATCGGCTAGCTCAAATTACAGCTTTTCATTCCTGGATAAGCCCAAGGTTCCTTTTTATGTGCAATATAATCATTCAGTGATATCCGAGAATTAAGAACAGAAAGGGTGTTTCATGTTGTGGCAAATGGGTGTGATTTATTAATTGCCCTCTAATTTAGTTGCCAGGTATCAAACAACAGTGACTACTACAGTAAATTGAGGTGTTCATGGAGTACTTGCACAGATTAGTGGAAACCATAAATAGACAGTACAGAAACAAATTATTTTGTTTTTTAATAGTTAATAGTTAATTAAGTTTTTTAATTAGGTTTTTTTGATCTATATTTTGATAATTTTTAATAGTCTAAAAATCTGTTCCCTCAATAAACTTAATATTTTTTCAAAATAAGAGCTGTGCCCCTGACTAACCAGAACAAAAATCAGAAACTTGTCTACAAGTAAACAAAAGAATGGTATTATTTAACAGCGTAGTATTTGCACTCTGCCCTAGGATGTACGTTTTATCCTCAAGCTTGAACTTTTTGAGCTGTAGAAATAGTGAKCTATCTCTGGAGCATGCCCTTTTTTAAAAGTTGATTGCATTCCAGCAGCATATTTTGTCAAAGGATATTTTCGCCTCCCCCTGGCAGTCAAATACTCCTTTATGAAATAATCTTCTAATTGTATTCCCTGACCCTGTATTTCCCTTCTCTTAAAAATAAAAATAAAAAATAAAAAAATATAAAAATAAAAATAAAAAAATTAAAGCCAGGGGAGGGAGGGGAAAAAAAGACAGACAAATGTAGCAGAGCAAGTGCAGGTGTTGGGAGTCAACAACTGACCAGTCAGTCAGGCTTACTAGTAACAGCACTATCTTAGGATGAAAAAGAAGCAGCATCTGTCTGCAGTCTGCTTAGAAATTTCTCACATTTCTGCTTCCTAGTGATGTGCACTTGAGACTCAAGGACTTATTTCCCTCCTTGTTGGAGGCAGAGGTGAAATATTAAAATAGTTATGGTAAGGATAATAGTRAGAGTCCCAGGCATTTGCAGACAGCACCTCTGCTATCCCAGAGTTTGCCTGCAACAGAATCATACATGAAAAATCTCCCCTAAAACTTGTCTTGTATAGGGTCAAGCTTTCTACTTTTTCTCATCTTTGTGGTCCTGATGATCTCTCTGTATGTTTTTCTACCTCTGTTCTTCCTTGTTCAATAAGCTAAGCTTTTATCTCTTCTCTTACCCACTCAGGTTGTGGTAATTTTCCTCCTGTACAACAATTAACAAAAGTGCTACATCCCTTTACCAGAAGCCCTAGCAAAATAGTGTATATAATGAAAYGATGTTTCTGTTCCTTTCCAGTCGATTCCAGCGTGGACGCGCTGGCAGTGTTTATGGCAAGCGGCAGCGCCACGGACGTTGTGAACCGCAACAGCCCCGCCACCCCRCCCAACAGCCTGAACCTGCGCTCCTCTCACAACGAGCTCCTGAATGCGGAGATCAGGCACACGGAGACCAAGAACAGCACTCCTCCCAAATGCAGGAAAAAGTACGCACTGACTAACATTCAGACAGCCATGGGTCTTTCCGATCCAGCAGCTCAGCCCCTTCTGGGGAACAGCTCCGCCAATATAAAGCTGGTGAAGAATGGAGAAAACCAGCTCAGGAAAGCTGCCGAGCAGGGACAGCAGGATCCCAACAAAAACCTCGCTACCACTGCAAGCGTAAATGTAACTTCTGAGAAGTTTGAAAGCAATGAGCCAATCCCACAGGATTCCTCTGGCTGTGAAATACTACCCTCGCAGCCAAGGAGGACCAAGAGCTTCCTGAATTACTACGCAGATCTAGAGACATCAGCTAGAGATCTAGAGCAGGGTTTTGTTGTGATGGAAGATAAGTCTGCACAAAGTAACAGCCAGGCTTCTACCGTTATCGTCAATGGGGAAGTCCTGCCCCGGAAACAGAACAAGATGCCAAGCCCAGAGGACGGCCAGKTTGCCACAGTGTCATCAAGCCCCGAGACAAAGAAAGATCACCCAAAAACTGGGGCCAAAACAGACTGTGCCCTCCATAGGATTCAAAACCTGGCCCCAAGCGATGAGGACTCCAGCTGGACTACCTTGTCCCAGGACAGCGCCTCGCCGAGCTCGCCTGATGAGACAGGTACGCAAGCAAAGGCCTCTGTTTTAAAAAGGCATTGCTTAACTTTTCTCACATGGGGCCAGGAAGGAGAGAAATGGTTTAGCAGTTTCAGTGGGGAAGTGGATTGCATCAAAATACAAGCACTGGCCTTGCACACAGCTGCTTGTCTGCTGGGGAATGCTTGGCAATTTCCTGCTCGATTGTAGTGGCTTCAGGAAAGGCACCAGCAGGTACCCTGTASAGGGTCCTAGAAATATGCTAACTGTACCTTTTGCTAGTTTATAAATAATTGCTCTTCAGTAATCAGTGGGTACATGTTGTGAGAAGAACATGATTGACTGGAGATGCGGAGCCACTGATAGCTACCTACACACAACAAACAAGCTTTTCTGAACCAAGATTTTTAGGTTCAGTGAGATTTTTACTTTTCTAATGCAGAACTTTATAAGCATGGGCGCTCCATCCCAGTCATTTGATGATGCTCCCTATGTACCAGCATAGGTAAAGGGAAGCCCTCCCAGCTGGGGAGTTACGCAGTGAGCCCTGGTGATGTCCCTTCTGCATGTCTGTCATTTTGGGCATGGACAGGGCTCTTCACTGCCACTGCATTTGGGGGAGGAGGAGAACATTTTGTGGGGTCTTCACTGCTCAGTGCTCTCCAACCCTTGCAGTTATGCTCCAGTAATAAATGTTAGGGCCCAAAGGAAGAAAGACATCTGTCTAGGGGAAAAATCTGCAGTAGAGTTTTAGTCATATGACTTCTGGGTAGTGAAAAAATCCCCTAGTCTTGAGACCAGTTAATCCACAAAAGGATGTAGTCCAGCAGATACCTGGGGAATTACTATTGTTCAATCCAGAGATTGTATTTAACACTTCAGTTTATGCAGAAATAGGATAGAATTACTGTTTTCCTGAGAAGACACTGTTGAAAATAACAATATGCATCTTTCAGGACTTCTGAATTGTTTTGTCTTCTTCTTCCTGCTCTTAACAATATTTCATTATTCAAAACCTAGAAAACTGAACGTTGTTTTGTGAGCTATTTTTGTTTTGTTTTCATGTATTTTCTTTTGGAGCTATATAATTAAAATCCCTGAAAATTTTATTCCTAATTGATTGTGCTGAGAATGCATCGTTGTTTAGACAAAATTCCCCTGAACTCTCCTTMGGGCAGGATACTTCTATGTGTGGTCTAATAAAAGATATTTTCAAGAGCCTTGACCCTCTCTCTGAGTGAGGAGACGAAAATGAAACAACTCTATCTAAAGATACGAAACAACTGACTTATTTAAACAAATATTGATGTTGATAAACAGATAACAACAGACATGGAACACCACAAGCACAGTACAGTATAAGAAATGTGTTTTGAGGAAACTCTGATTTCTTCTCCCAGGAAATTAGCTGTATGTGCATCTTGACAAGAGCTATATCGACCTCAACTTTAAGATAATTTTATGAGTGCTTTCAGCCACCTGACCTTCTTTCTGAGATTCAGTACTTCAAAAAAAAAAAAGGAGTCTGAGGTGATTTGAGAAGCAGAAAAAGCCTGTAGTCAGCAAAGCAATGGGATGTCATCGAGACACTTAGCACATGCCAAGCCCTAATGGGTTTTCAGGCAGCCTTCCTAGAGACAGGCAGTGACTTGCCACCAGAGCTGATTGACACCAAGCGCTACAGGCAGTGCCCCAAACAAGCAAGCTCGCTTCCATTAGCCTCRGGCACTGCATCTCCTCTGGGACCTGCTGTGTCTATCCAGCTGAATCCTCTGGCATTTGGAGAGTCTCCTGAATAAGCAGACACCAGCTCCAGGTGGTTTTAATACTGCAAATGGACTGGAATGGGGTTTAAATGACAGGGAAAGCTTCCTTCTCCTCTCTCAAGAAAATTTTCTTAGTCTTGTTTTCAAAGGAAACACATCTTGTGTTATTACACCTATCTACCTATTCCTTCTCTCCCTCTCCATGCATTCATCTGTTTCACCTGGATGAATCTGTTTGTATTCATTGAATGGATCTGTGTGGTGCAAGCTGTAAAGCAGCAGCAAAGCACATGCCCCAGAGCCCAAACCTAGGAGACAATGAGGATGATGTTTTCTGTTTGTGGCTTGCTGGTTTGGTTTTGTTTTTTTTTATGTTTGCTTATTTAGGTGGTTTTTTTTTGTTTGTTTTTTTTTTTTTTTTTTTTTTGTGGTGTGGGTTTTTTTGTTTTGGTTTTGGTCTTTTTATTTGTGTTCTATTGTTAAGAAGCTTCCCAGAAGGCTGTGAAAGGCAGGCACATTTCTTAATCTTCATATCACCTGAAAAAAAAATTCAGTGGAAAGTTACTCTGCCATAGTAAAGTGCAGCACTCTGTGTAGTATTCTCTAATGAATTAGAAATGAGAATTCTTCAGGAAATAAAAGGACTTCTCTTTGCCTCAGAGCCAAGAATAAAACTGGAATTTGCTTTTGCTTTCTGTTTTATATTAATTTGAACAAAACCCCCTCCTTCTACAGCCAGGAATAGCCCCATAATTAGGAAAGTCCCTGAGATGTGGGACACTTGGTGCTAGAGAGCCACAGATGTTTCTTGCTCTGTGACAGCCKCCCCCCTCACTCTCTTTAGGGCTGTGCAGGGGCAGCAGGCTCCTCTGGCTCCCCAGTCTCTCAGCCTTTGGGTCACACTGTGTCCTGTTTGTCCCTGGTGGAAATCAAAGGGGTATTAAAACCACAAGTGTCCCTTTTTCGGGAGTGCTGCTGCTGTGTGCAGTTGCAATACACCAAATGCCTGTCTGCTGCTGTCTCTGGATAAACCCAAGAGGGCTGTTTAATAGCTGGTTACAGATAAATGAGTTCAATCCAGTGCAGAAATGGCAGCTGTGAGACTGGTCCTTGGGGATTAGGAGTGTCGTTCTTGTAAAGAGAGCCTGGTGCTCTGAAATAACGGCACGTCTGGGGAGAATAGCCCTCTTAATACAATAAAAATCACAGTAAATCATGAATTAGTCGGAAAAATTTGTAGCAATGGTCAATTCTGCCTCTGATTTTAACCAGTATCTTTGACCAAATTAAAATGGATGTCCTTTTAAAAGCATGATTCTTCCTTTGCAGTACCTATCTGATAGAGACGGGGGGTAGGGGGGATTTGCTACAGACACTCTGCTGTTTGCTCAGAACGCATTTTCTGTGTTTCTGAGTGGGGAAAACTCATGATTTATGTGCTAAAAATACATTCAATTTCATTGTGGATTAATGCAAGTTTAGTAAAACTAGAGAAAGAACTACCTATACAGTTGTAAGGGTCTAAGTAAACACCCAGTTTTCAGATTTTTGGGAATAAGAATCTCTAGTTCATACCTGCTGTGCATCCTAAACTTTTAATATTGAGCTTTTAGATTTTTTTTAATCCTGCATSTTACTGATAACCATGTCTCAAGAACAGTGTATGTTTTATAATCTTAGGCTTCAGAGTCAGCTTAGGCTGACTGTTTATGAAATAACGAATGTGACTATTGCTCTATATCCCCAGTGTTAGTGTAGGTAACMTTCTGCATGCCAGGTAATTGACTGCATGTTTGTCTCTTATTTAGCCATCCCTATAAGAAGATTTTAGGGTCAGTCTAAAAGAAATAAAGGGCAGCACAGTTAGACAGTGTTTACAGTGTCAGGGTTTACTTGTAGAAGGCCATAAAATAAATTTAACTTGATAGCAAATTAAACTTGAAAGACAATCCTCTCAAGTATACATTGCCACTGTCAATTGTACAGGGAGGCTGCTTGCTATGTGGAGGCAGCCAGGCTGGTTTTATTCTGTGATTCTCGGTGGAGCTACATAAATCCATACYTTGGATGCTTGAGTCCTCTGACTTGAAATGTAAAGATTCCACAATTAAGAGTGGTGATCAGTACCCTTTTGAATTGGGATAGATAATAAAAACAGGTCTGTAAAAGTAAATTAATATGCTTAAATTTAGGAATGGGAGAATAGATGTTTTATATACCAGTAATTAGCATCCTCTCCCAAACACTGTTTGCAATTACCAAAACTTGGGACTATAGAAGAGGTTTCCCAGAATGTATTGYACACATGCAGAGTTCCAGTTTCATACTTAACTGTTTGTCAAAAAGATAAAGAACGATTCTTTAGTTCATCAGAGGCATGGAGTTACCTCCCTAGGGTGGACTTGGTTCAACTGCCCACCTTGTGTCCCTTGAGATGTCTGATGGTGTCCAAGACAGGCAACAGATAAGAGGGAAGAGCTAGGACTTGCATTGGGAGAAGCAATCACAGGCTGAGCAGGATGCACATTAAGTAATGCTCACAGATKAATTAACCAGCTGAATAGAGTCTGAAACATGTGTCCTGCAGTGCAGAAATGAAATCTGTTCATTTTCTGTGTCCATTTTAGAGACAACTCCTTGTTTAATCTCTGCTACGTTATTGCTAAAGGATCCAGGATAGTTTGTCACATTCTTTGTAAACACAGCTCTCTCCTAGTGCGACATCTCTCGCTGGGTGCTTCAGGGCTGGGGGAGATTGAGTTTGAAGACAGCTGCCTTGCTGTGGCTGTGCTTTGCCTGCTACAGCATTGCTGTGGCCAGCTCACTGCTCTGGCTACAGATAGTGTTAAAATTGGCCCTGTCCTAACTGACAAAGTTTCACTGATTTTTGACCTTACGCCAGCTGAACTTCTGGCCACTTGATGCGAGTCTCACAAGCTGGGTTGTTTTGCCTTTGCTATTTCAATTTTGTTTGGTGTTTGTCTTTTCAGGGACACTTCCCATGCTACCTTAGTAACGCATGTAATTCCTAATCCAGAAAAAAATCATAGCACTGCTTTGTATAAGTGCAGTACTATGATTTTGAGTGTGTTAAAAATTAATGTTTTTCTGTTCAGTAAAATGTGTACTTGTGGGGTAAACAAATACCCACGGGGCCAGCTCCCAAAAGACGTGGAACACCTGTGCAGCAAAGTGAAAGATGGCAATGGGGAGTAGAGGTGGTGCCAGGACAGCCCAGGGAAGTAAAGCCAATGTCAGA